TAATTACAAGAAGCATCTCATTACAGCTTTAACATATTCAGTAACACACTTCTGAGCAAGAGTATATCTATTTCACAAGTGGATGTAAGTTTCTAGGTTCAGAGTTGAATTAATACAGTTATACAATATTGAACTCAGTATAAGCCCCATGAGACATAAAATTGAATAAGATTTAACCTTTAAAAAAGATCTCCATTTCATTTTAGAATATATCGTTCCTTGGAGACAGACTCATTGTTTTTGCTACTAACGCTGAGATGTTGGTGCATGCATCTCTAATCTGTGTATATCTGATTATTACTAGTCATAATCAGTTGCACTTGGATCCTTGGCGCCTGTGTATGTCTATAATGTCATCGGGCAGATTTCAATAGCATTGTTTATCACCTCTACTAATTAGCATGACGTAAATTTCCATGCTTCCTCCTCAAATACATTTTAAAAAAATTTGTTGACTTTTTGTGTGTGTGTGTGTGTGTGTATATCACACAGAACTTCCCAAACCATCTCATTCGACTATACAACCACTTCCCAGATAGCACCCTCCCATAGCCTCCCCACTGCCCCACTAGAGCCCTTATACTCTGATATCCCTGCTAATGTCTGCTGTGTTGTCGGCATCCCAGCCATTCCCCACTACTTGCCCTTCTGGTGAATCTACTCAGCCTATCTAGAGGTCTTTGTTTTAGGAGGGTCAGCTGTTCCTCATCTACCAGTAATCAGTTGTCAGTATTCCTTTAGATGGGGTCTGCTCTTCATTTTCCCAGTTCTATGCTGGGTTATTATCTGGGAGTCTCTTGGGCCACCCTGGCCAACAACTCAAAAGAAGGTATCACCTGTCATTGTTGCTTGTTATGTAGCCTTTAGCTATGCATATGGACTCTTAAAAAATTATATTGGCCCCTTTAATCTTTGGTTATACTTTCCTTTTGGGTATTTAAGGCCATACAGTTGGTCCAGATAAACCAATTTATTTTTACTCTTAAGGTTGTTTGAGGATCTGTTCCTCAGGGGTCACATGGGCTTGGGAGGAGCCCCTAACTCCTTTCTTTTACCAATTCTGCCTCTGTGAAGATAAGTCAAAGGTCCTGCTCGACCATGGTTGGCTTTGTTTGGAAGCATGGAGGAAATGATTCCTCTGTGTTGACCCTCCTCTTTGTAGACTGGACAGTGGTTCAAGTCCATCTGGTGGGGTCTCCTCAGCCTCCTTGATCAAGAGGACAGATGACCCGCCATCATTATAGGACATTTTGAGAGATGCTCATAGTCCCCTGGAACTAGTCGACCTAGGATGGCAAAGAGCAAAAAGTGTTTTTTATGTCCCTGTGACCAAATTATTATAGGCCTCAAAACATGTCTGTTAAACACCCAAGAAGGTTAGTTCCACCAGTCGGGTACTTTTAATTGCTGTGTGTCATGTAGATAAATCTTCATCAAAGACCAGTTGTTCTCACATAAACCTTACCTAGACATATATTTCTTGATCTGCTATGTATAATTTGTCAGTAGGTTGTTGGACTAATATAATTCCCTCTGGTTTTTAAAACTAGCTAGGCATTGTTTATCTCTTGCATTGTCTAATCCCTCCATCATGATTTCCCCTATTAAGGTGTCCCCATTTTTCCCCTTTCTCCCTTAATAACACCCTTCTCCTATGGTCCTACCTCTCTTGAGCTCCTTCTTTCCCTTTATCCCCTAGATTCCTTGTATACCCTTCCCTCCCCCCTCCCTTAAACTAACCCAATTTTTGTCCATATCTCCCTTATTAAGTCCTGTTTCCTACTGTTCTTATCTTTCAGGTTCTTTTCCTTTACCTCCCTCATTCCTTTCCATTATCCTGGTTCCTGGATACAATATCTTGGATACATACTTATCTGGATTTGGTTCTGAGATCCACATATGAGGGAGAACATACGTTGATTTTTTTTTTTTTTTTTTTTATCTGCACTTGCCGTGTGTTTGCAGCAGAGGAGGCCATGGGAAAGGAGATGCAGGTCCCATCTTGACCATGGGTTCAAGACAAGCTCTGAAGACTGTACTTTGGTAGTGGTTATCTTGTGGGCAGATTCATCTCCAATTGAGGGTTCCATGTTTTGCCACATGGCTTTGCTCCTTCTGGAAGGGACCCTGATGTCATTGGTGAGAACAGGAGCCCAGCAATTTCTGCACAAATCCTGATTCTCTTGCTTGATAACTGTAATCACCAGCAGATTGCCTACTTGGGGCCAAATTCCTGCAAAATTCTGAGCAATCATTCAGTGACTCTCTCCCAGGCAGCATTACAGGTGTGGCCCTCATGTGTACATTAGGTGACTCAGGAAGGGAACTGGGGGTAGGAGGCTGTTTATCAGCGAACTGTGACCTGGGGACATTTTCCAGGGTTGCTTATCCCTGCAGAATCACACTGGTTCCCAGACGTGGAAAGAGTATACAGGAGAGCCAGTCAGTGTCAGAGCAAGGTAGGGATGCTGTGCTGCTGGCTCTGAAGATGGAGGAAGGGGTCCCCAGCTAAAGGGTGCATGGCATCTAGAAGATGGAGAGGGCATGTGCTGGATGCTGCAGTCCCCAGATCCAGAAGGAACACAGCTTTGCCAGCACTTGATTTCAGCCCATTGAGATCCGTTTCGGACTTTGGGTCTCTGGCACTGTGAGATAGTAGTCCACGTTGGTTCAAGCCACTGAGTTTGTGGAATCTGTTACAGCAGCCACAGAGATCAGGTATGAGCAGAATCACTGAGGCAGCTGAGTCATGTGCTCCTACCTTGAGGAGAGACAGGTGGAACCTGCCCTCCCTGCTTTCTCTCTGCTCCTAGCTGGCCAGCAGGGCCCCAGGAGCCCTTCAGCATGGACTTACTGCATACAACCTTTGAATATCTGCGGAGCACAGCAACAGTGTACTGAGTGCTGCGGACCAAAACTCAGCTCTGGTGGTTGTCCTCGGCTTATGTGAGTCCCTGCTCCAGAGGACCAGCGCCAGCTGAACAGTGTAGCCGTGGGGGCTGCAGCTCTGCTGAGGACACTCAGACCATGAGGGAACCAGGGAGCCATCCGGCCAGCCACCTCCTGAGGCTATCCTAGGTCTTTTGTGCTTCCGTATGAATCTTAGGATAGTTTTTTCCAATTCTGTGGAAAATGTCGTAGGGATTTTTGATTGGCATTGCACTGAATTGAGTTCACATAACATGATGCAATTTCTCTTGTTGTAAAAGGAATTTCAAATGGTATCTCCTTGATTCCTAATTAAAAAAAATATTTTATTTATTTTTATTATTTTTATTTTTATGTGTATGAGTGTACTGCTTGCATGTATATCAGTGCATCCGTGTTGTGCAATGCCATGGAGGTCAGAAGAGGGCTTTGGATTCCCCTGCAACTGGACTTAAGGATGGTTCATAGCTGCCATGTGGGTGCTGGGAATCAAATCCGGGTCCTCTGCAAGAGCAGTCAGTACTCGAACCACTGAGCCATCTCTCCAGCCCCAATTCCTAATTCTTATACAGTTGTTATGAATTTGCTTTTATATAGCCTATTGGCACAACATGTCGCTATTTCCTGTGCAATAGAAAATTGCTTTTGTGGTAGTTAAAAAAAATGTATTTTATATTTATCTTCATGATTATCATTTCCACACTCTGTGTTTCTTGTAGAGATGAGTTGTGGCCTTTGCCCCCTGGGCTCTTTAACATGTTTTATAGTGAGGGTCTGTCGATATTTTTTTTCTACTTGTGTTTGTCTCAGAAGTTCTCTTTAACTTTTTAAATTTACTTGCCTTGGAGTACAAATTCTGGATAGGAGCCTACCTTTTTTCTCCTTAACACTTTAAAAATGTTACTTCATTATCTTTCTGCTTGAATAGATTCCTACCGGAAGTGTGATAGAATTTTTACTGTTTCATTATGTAATGTACTTGTTTTTCTCTCTCTTCAAGATCTTATGTTTGTATGCTTTATTTAAATTTTTTGTTATTTTGTTTTTATATTTTATTTTGTATTGATAGTCTCTGGGTTCCTTTTTTAAAAAATATTTATTACTTTTACTTTTTGTGTATGAATGTATTGCCTGTATGTATGTAAATGCATTTGTATCATGCAATGCCCACGGTGCGATCCCCTGGAACTGGAGTTATGGATGGTTGTTAGATGCCATATGGGTGCTAGGAACTGTACTTGAATCCTCTACAATAGCAGCCAGTGCTCTGAACCACCGAGCCATCTCTCCTGCTCCATTCTCTGAGTTTCTTGCAGTTGTAGTTTGATGTTTATCACTGTATTAAAAACACTGACAAATTTTGGCCTTTAGTTAACTACTTCTCCTGGGATTTCTATTATGCATGCTATATCTTTGCTACTGTCCTGTCACTCTAGATATTTTCTTCCATTGTAGGTTTTTCCTTTTTTCTACATGTAATTCAGATTTGATAGTGCCAGTCCCATCTTTAGCTCTTTCCTTAGCTGACTCAAGTTACGCCTGTTACCTTTATTTTTCTTTTAAGCCAGCATTTTTATTTTATTCTTTTTGAAGGAAAGAGTGTCTGCTGATATAGTTCCTACTGATATGCCTGTCTGTTAAAGAATTTTGTTTATCTTTTCTGCTAGATGCTTTGACATATTATTGATAGTTATTTTAAATTCCATATCTGATAGTTCTAACATCTGGCTGATAGCTGCATTTGCTTCATTATTATTATTTGCTTGTTTTTTCATGTACCATCTGCATTTGTAAGCTAGACTTTGTATATAGCATCTGATCATTGAAGGAAATAGTATTTGTGCCTTGAAATAAGTGTCTGTTCTTCTACTTGGGTCTTTATTTGGGATTAGTGAATCTAGTACCTCAGGAAGGGTCTCTGTCATGTTCTTTTCTCCCCAGCGATAGCTTGCTGTCAATAATGTGGGACCTTCTCTGTTACTCTGATTGATCCTCTGGCACGCCCTTTGATCCTGGTGTTCTCTTAGTCATCCTTTCCCTCCCCCAGTGGCAGAAGTCTAGCAGAGACTGGGTAGAGACTTTTGTTTGAATGTTTGGTTCTCTAGCATCAGTGGGAATTTACGTGTATTCTGGGAACAGTGATTTTGCTGACCTTTCCTGAGTGGCTTAATGCTTCTGTGTCTTCAGTGGGAAAGATCTGATGGAATTTCATGTCTCTTCCTTTTCCATGCCTGGATCTGGAGGGATATTCTTTCTAATATCTTGACCTTCCCGAGTGAAGGACAGAGACGGTATAGGCCTGTGATTGAGTACCTGGAATTCTGTAGAAACAGTCTGCAATTACAGTGGTGCTCCTTATGTCTGAGCCTCGCATACCTTTCTTGGTAGCCCACCCTTAGCTTTTGTAGTTTGTTAAAAAGTTTCGCTGAGATCTTAGTTGTTGGGTTGTGGCTGTCTTTTCCTGTGCATTGCTCTTTGTCACTTACTGTCATGATCTCTCCCAATCTTGCCACCTCTTTTGGGGGGGTTTCAGAATAGTTATTTGCTGACTTTAGCTTTAATGGATTTAAGAAAAATTATAGTCTGATAGATTGTCCAGCTTTTCTTTGTCATTAGGGTAAGAGTGATCTTATTTCTAGCTCTCTACATCCTAAACGGAATCAAATGTATCTCTGAAAATAGTTTAAGCCCTTAAATTGTACCCAACCCTGATATAATTTTCTTAATATGGTCGAGTGTGCCAGATGTTCTGTGTCTTGAATGGTACTTCTGTTAATGGTTTGGATAGAATGCAAATGCTCCTTTGCTTTCCTCTTACACCATGGCTTAGTAAGTCAAGGAGAGAAAAGCTAGCAGTTCATGCTCACAGGAGCTACTGTTTACATTGTTCTGCCGGGTTCCTTGGAGGCAAAGGTTCCTTTCAGTGCTTAGAAAACAGCAGTGATGCAGTTGCTTTGAATTAAAAATAAACCTTGGTAGGATTATTTGAAACACATAGAGAAGTAGAGTAAAAGTGTTCTGCTTGAGCAGATATGTCCAAAGATTTAACTCATACTAGTAAATTAATTTTCATATTCCATTGGGATTGCTGTTTCTATGTGTATATTTAGAGGAGAAGGCAAAAATGACTTGATAGTTTTTTCTAGTTATATTTTGAACTATATGCAATCTAAGAGTTGACTGTAAAACTCCACATTTTTGTTTTAATGTATTGCTTTGAAATATTATTAAATTTATAGAAAAATTGCAAGGACAGGAATTCACATGTGTCCATTACCTACCTACCTGTCTTGCTATATTGTTTTCTATATTGTTATTTCTCACAAAGGCATAGTGTAGTGAGAAAAACTATGTAATAATAGTGATTTTTTTATATTCTCATTTTAACAGTTGCTGAAATAGTTCAAGAAATTGAAAATATGGAAAAGACCAGGATGCGCCTTGAAGCAAGTAAACTCAATGAAAGCGTACGTTGATGGGTCTTTCAGTATGTTAAGTGCAAGAAAGAAAAGTTTAATTGAGCCATTAAAATGAAAAGCCAGTCTTTGTAAATTCTAGTTAGTAGGAAATGTACTAGAATACATTTCTATTTAGAATGTTAAGATGTCCTTGTAGCTCACTTTTGGGACAGTATTTGTATTTAGCAAACTTATAGCATAAAGTGCAGGCTTACATGGAGTTTTGTTTATGAGGTAGAGTCATGTAGAAAAAGCACATGTTCTTCTTCCTGTTCACCACGAAGTGAAGAAGCTCCACCACACTGTCCTGCCACAGCGATGTTCTGCCCAAGTGCCTGGAGCCAAAGTCTGAATACTCTGAAGCTAGCTCATGAACTCTTAGACAGTTAGGAAAACAGGCATTTCACAAAGGCACATTTGAAAGAAGAAACAAGTGATGGAAAATAAAAAAGTAAAAATACTATAAGAAATGGATGACTGATTTTGTGGCTAAAAAACTAGAGAAACAGTCCATATCATTTAACAAGTTTTTGTAAGCACTTGTGCATAATCTTCAAGTGCTGAGAGTGAGATCTGGATTTATTTTGCTATTCCCACTGACTCAGTGTGGCTCCTAGGAAGGACCTTCATTACCAAGATCCACATTCAGCAGCACATCTTTGACTTTTATGGTTACCTTTCCCCAGCTCCTGTGAACCATGGGCAAATCTAAATCTTTAATAATCTGACTTCAAGAAAATAGTTACACAGCTATACCACAATTGAGTTCCACCTGGAAATTTTTAATGTAAGATTAGCACAGAAACACAATTTGATTGAAGAAATGAATCTAACAAATTAGAAAAAAGATTCATTCAAGCTTTGAAGGAGAAAGTGGAAGTGCCATACACAGCTGAAAAATCATTCACCAAGAAATTTTCCTTTTTTTTCTCTCAATATATTTTATTTTTTAATGAAAGACTTTTAGTAACCATATAAAGAGTGCATTTCCTTATGACATTTTCATACATTTATGTCATTCAGTTTGGCTCATATTCACCTCACCATCCTTCCTATTCTCCTTCCCGCATCCCACTTTTCCCCTCCTCCCCCCATATAGTCTAAAAAATTTATTCACAGTAATATTTCCCCTTAATATTTTACTTGAAAAACTTCAAAATGCAGAAAAGTGGAAGAAATGGTACTTCACAGTACTGTCATCAAGATTTATCCACTAAATGTTTTATTTTTGTATATTCTTCTAGATATGAGTGTGCATATGCTTATATTAATTTAAAAAAATGTTTATATTGTGTGTATGAGTATTTTGCCCACATGTATATAAGTGCACCACATGGAGGCCAGAAGTGGGTGTCTGATCCCCTGTACTGGAGTTATAGATGCTCATTAGCTGTCATGTGGGTGCAGGGAACTGAACTCGGGTCCTTTGCAAGAGCAACCAATGCTAACCCCTGAGCCATCTCTCTAGCCCCATAATATATATATTTTTCAAAATTAAAATTTTTTTCCCAGAACCATTTGGAGCTGGGATATAGATACTTTACATATTTTATTTGAATGTTTATTTACAGGAAAACAAAACTTTAGTTCTTTCCACAAATGGATCCCACTTTGCCCTAAAATCCACAGTATTTTATCAGTACTTACCTTATATGAACATTTGTTTAGTTATGTTAAATAACTGGCTGATGGAGATGGCTCAGGAGGTAGGAATACTTGCTATGCAAACATGAGGACCTGAGTTCATATCTCTAGTACACATATTAAACTGGGTATAGTTGTGGACATCTGTCACCCCAGTTTGTGGGGTGGAGACAGGAAGATTTCTGGAACTTGTTGACTGCCAGCCTACTTCCACGTTTGGTGAGAGACCCTGTCTCAAGGAAGTAAAGCAGACAGTGGTAGAGCAGGACACCTGACGTCTTCTGGTCTTATGTGCAAAGTGTGCACATGCACACTTGTATATACACTATCACACATTCATGCACACACTCAAAATTATGTAAACACTCAGATTTCACTGTAATATTGTTAAAGTAGAAAAAAATGTTTAAGCATAATGGGATTTCCTTCTTGGATGCCACTAGGTTTGAGGGAAAGGTTGTTTCTACTTCCTAAGTGAGAATAACTTGCAGTGAAAGACGGGAGAGAGGAGAGACTGTACTTTGCATCAGGGAGCTTTGATTATTGACACTTTCTCTGCTGCTGCCATTTGATAAACTACTTCATCCTTTAGGGTCTTCATCTAGAAAACTAAGGGTCTGAGCTATATGATCTATGAGATCCTCTATCTCTGGTATTCTACAATTCTAGACTTATTATATTTATAGAGATACTAAATGACTTAAAGTTTTTGAGGTTTAGATATTCTGCTGAGCTGTTGAGAGAGTTAGAGAGTTAGTGACCTAAAATTCTTCACTATTGCCACCTTGTTTGAGAGCCCAAAATTTCAGGAAAGAATTCCCAAGAAGAAAATAGGCACTATTTCCTATGACACTGGAGAAAGTGTTTTGGGCTGTCCCAAGTGAACATTTTTTTTCCTCCACATTCTTGTTAGTATGCTTGTGGGGAACATGTAATACTGAAGGAAATAAGTTTATAACAGATAGTGGAGAAAATTGATTTCCTTTGGCTTTGTTGTTGCCTATGTGCTATGACATGGGGACCATAATGAATTACATAAGTAGGTTTCTCAGCTAAAATGTAAGCCCAAGATCGAAGAAAGTGGAATTAGAATTTTAACACGCTGAGCCTTGTATTGCTGCATTTGTGTTCTACATGACTTTTCTAACATGACCTGGAGAAATTAGGTTGGAAGACAGGAAGCAATAAGATGTGCCTTATTAATGAACTGCTGACTATCTTCAGTCTTCTGCTTTCAAGTGTTACCTGTGGCATGATCAGTGTGGAAGAGGAAATGCTGGGAAACTGAATGGGTCCTTCTGTTACTACTTCATTTATTGTAATGGACCCAGGGCTGTGTTTTCTACTGGTGAGAGAAATGCAGTAAGTCAACTGTGCCTGTGGATGAGAGACTGAGGAAGCTCTAGACATATTCAGAACGCAGATTGTTTTCGTCTGTTTTGAACAACTACATTTGAGATTTTGAAGTTTGTGCTGTTTTCATTTTTTGCCATTTTGGATGGAATTTTAAAGCTTTTTCTTGATTATTTTAGGTAATGGTTTTTACAAAGGACCAAACAGAGGAAGAAATAGATGAAATTCACAGTAAATATCGTAAGTTGTGCAATATTTTCCTTCTTTGCAGAGAACTTGGGTTACTGTTTTACATCTCGAGTATTTAAGAAACATTTATATTAATGTTTGGTATAAACTTTTGTTAATATTACCTCAGAGACTGAGTTTTAGTTGAGTGTTTACTCTGACTTTTTTGTACTCTTTGTACCTGCTTTTTAAGATTTATGACTAATGTTCTGCTTTGAGCTTATCACTAAGCACTTTGCAAATATGAATTAGTTCTCAGAAATCATTTCTGTGAGAAGATGGAATGAACATGGGAACATTGCAGACCCCATCCTGCTCTTAGTCCCTCAATAACAGTTTTTCTGTAAGGAGTTTTATCACTTCTGGAGTTTGCAGATTTGTGTCAAAAATAGCTTCCATTCTCTTTATCAAACTTCATCCCCTTGTTTTCCTTAAGTGGATTTTGTATGTATCTTCGCCAGGATAACATCTTATTGTATGAACTGGGTTGCGGTTACTCTTTATTTACTTGGTTTTTTTTTTTAAATATTTATTATTTTTATTTTATGTGTATGAGTTTATTGCCTAAGATGTATGTGAGTGCACCCGTGTCATGCAGTGCCGTGGAGGTCAGAAGAGGGCTTTGTATTCTCCTGGAACTGGAGTTAAGGACGGTTCGCAGCCGCCGTGTGGGTGCTGGAAATCGGACCTGGGTCCTCTGCGAGAGTAGTCAGTGCCCTTAACTGCTGAGCCATCTCTCCAGCTCCCATTTACTTGTTTTTTAATTAAAAAAAATTTTTTTTTCAGTGCTAAGAATGAACTCAAGGCCTTGCACAGTGCTAGGCTAGTGCACTAGCACTGAGTTACATTTCCAGCCCCAAATTTAATGAGGCCTGCAATTCCTTATTCCTCCTGGTCCTGACTGGCTTGCTCTTCTCCCCCTTCCTTCTCCTCCCTCCCTCCCTCCCTCCCTCCCTCCTCCTTCTTTCCTCCCTCCCTCTTTCTCTTTCTCTTTCTCCCTTTCTTTCTAACTTTGTTTGTTGAGACTGGGTCTTGTTCCATAGCTCAGGCTGACCTCAAATTTACCATCCATATGTCTCAGACTTCTGGGTGCTATGTTTACTGGTATGTGCCACTATACTTGTTAAGGGCCTGGCAAACAATATATAGCTAATAAATGTTGGTTAAGTGAGTGTTCCAGTTAGATGTTTTAATTGTGTTCAATGAAGTTTTTCTTCAGTTCTTAAATTTTGAAGGGAAGATTCAGCAGTGATGTGTTTTGAGAAGGAGGGTAACATATAGAGTCTACAAACACCCCAGAAAATTTCCACTGAAAGTAATTTAAATAACTAAAATTATGCCATTATTAAGAATTTGGATTAGGGGCTAGAGAGATGGCTCAGCAGTTAAAGAGCACTAACTGCTCTTGCAGAGTATCTGGGTTCAAATCCCAGCACCCACATGGCAGCCAACAATTGTTGATGACTTCAGTTTCAGGTTATCTAATGCACTCTTTTGTCCTCCATGGGCACTGCACAACACAGGTGCACTTACACACATGCAGGCATAACACTCATACCCATAAAAATAAAAATAAATGAATAAAATTGAGCTTCTAGTCATGATATTCCTGTCTTGCTGCCGTCCTGCCATTACTGAAAACTTCTCAATGGATTGCCACTGCTTTCTAGATGGAGTTGATAAAGTCTATCTTATTCCTCTGCCTTGACCTGTTTACCTTTCTGGCCTACCTTTCTTCCCCTTACTCCCTGTATTCCATCCATCCTGGTCATCTTTTATTGTCCTCGAGTTCTTCACTACAGCAAGGGGGTGGGAGCCCCCCATGATCGCTTAGTCTTGGCAGGATTTCTCTTTCATAGATGTGCAGTCAGCCATGGGCAGCATTATGATGGTGTTCTGTCAGCAACAGCCTGCGTCCTGTTTTCTGCTGACATTGAACTTGTCATTGTGTTACAGTTGCTTGTAATATTCAGAACAATCATGGTTTTACAGGAAGGACTGTAGCCTAAAAGAAGAAGGCTGTACTTAGCCTAGGTATATGGTAGACTAGACTGTCTAGGTTTGTTGTTTATACCACGATGCACTCACTTCTCAGGACTCATCCCTTTCCTTAGATGATCCATGGCTATATATAAATTGCTTCATGCTACTGTACTATTAGTACTACTAGTAGTACTTTCTAGAGAGAGAGAGTGGTCTGAAAATGACAGCAAAGAAATTTTGATAAGATGATCACAATTGTCATTACTTGTATAATAATTATTTTCTTATTTCTAATTATGTGATTATAGGTTAGGGCTGCCATAACAAGGCACTACAGGGAGGGTGGCTTAAATAACAGAAGTTTAATGTCTTGCAAATGTGGAAGCTAAAAGCACAATACCAAGATGTTGATAGAGTTGTTTCCCTTGGAGGACTTGGAGAAGGATCTGTTCTTGGCCTCTCTCCAGGACTACAGTGTGACTGGCTGTCTTCTCCTCGTCTCTTCACAGTCTTCTTTTTTGTCTTTTGATTTATTTTTGTTTTTTTTTTTTGTGTTTTTCCTACACATATGTAGGTGCACTATGTGCCTGTGATGCCCATGAAGCCCAGAAGGGGGCATCGGATCCCCTGGAACTGGAGTTATGGATGGTTGTTAGCTGCCATGTGCATGCTGGGAACTGAGCCCACCTCCTCTGCAAGAGCAGCCATCTCTCCAGCCCCCAGTCTTTCTTCTTGACACACCTCTGATGCCCTCTTGGTATAAACTTACTGATCATACTGGATTAGGGTTCTTACCCTAAAGATCTCATTTTAACTTGATTACCCCTGTAAAGGCCATATTTCTAAATGAAGCCACCATACTGAGGTACCAGGGCTTAAACCTTCAACATGTGCCTTTTGGAGATATGCAGGTCAAACCATAACAATGTTTAGTAGCATTTCTTCCTGTATGAAGGTGAAAGCTTTTCAGGGGAGGAAATGTCCCATCTTGTTTACCGCTTGACACAATAGTTGCTGCAAGCTGGGTCTTGCACATAGAGAGGATTCAGTAAGTTTTTGACCTAGTGAATGAGCAGATGCCAGTGAGAAAGGAACTATAATGTTTTTGTGTTTATGGGAATATGTCAGGCTATTAAAAAGTAGGGTAAGAGAATCTGGATGCTTGCTGCATCGCTCACTTGTTGGATTGTCTTTCCTTTTGAACAGCTTAGATACATGTTCCAGCTCAGTTAGTTGTGCTTCACCTGTGTCATCTCTTTTGCTTTTGCGGGGTTTTCTTCTAATCACTTCTCTTTTGTTACTTTTTCCTTTCTTTGCTTTATTTTTAAAAGAAAACACTGCATGCCAAAAAGTCAAAATAGTTGAACATAGCTATTCTATGCCAAGAATTCTACATATATTATTTTAGTAATCCACCAAACACCTCTGTGAAGCAGGTGTTGCATGGAGAAACTAAGTCCCATAAATGGTAAATAAATTATCTATAAATCTAGTAAAGGGCAGAATGAGCAGTTAAACCCAGGCTCACTAGACTCACTGTCATACTTTGAATCTGAGTGAATAACTTGTGTTTTGAGGACTTCATTTTTCATGTGAAGTCTTTAGTTTCAGATTGTAGTGTTTAAGAGCAACTTAATGGTTTTTAATTGATAAAAGTTTATTTAAATGACTTCTTGGTAGGGAGGATTCATTTCTTGGTCTCTTTTTCCTTAAGACAGTCCTGTATGTGTATGTGTGTGTTCCTCTGTGTGTATGTGTAAACACAAACACACACACACACACACACACACACACACATGTGGAGGCCAGTGGTGGGCATCAGGTGTCTTCCTCATTTCCTTCTTCACCTTATTTTTTTGAGACAGGGTCTGTCACTGAACCTGGAACTCTCTGATTTAGCCATACTGGCTGGCCAGCAAGCCCCACTGATCCTCTTTTCTCTGCCTTTCCAGCATGGGGATTGCAGGTGCAACTGTTGCACTGGTGTTTTTACATAGGTACTGGGGATGTGAATTTAAGGCTTCATGTTTGTTCAGCAGGCACTTTCTTGACTGAGCCATCTCTCCAGCCTCTCTTTGGGCAGTCTTGACAATTATTTCCTCTTTTGCCTAGAGATGGCCCTCATGGTGCTTGTATGTTTTCTTGGTCTTAGACCTGCAGCCTTGGTCTGTTCAGCTACGCAATTATTATGGGCCTTTTCTGGTTTTGGATTGTAGGTGTGTTCCATGAGCATCCACTTGATTTTGGATGTTTTCCTTCACCTTCAGGTACAAACTGATATATGTGGTGATTAATCTGGCACATACCTTTAATCCCAGCACTTGGGAGCAGAGGCAGATCTCTGTGAATTGGAGGCCATCCTGGTGTACATAGTGAGATCTCGGCCAGGCAGGGCCATATAGTGAGACCCTATCTCAATAACCAAACCAAACAAAAAATCTGAGATTCACAGTATGTCTTGAGTAATCTGCAGAATCTGCATCTTTCTCACCTTGGGCATTGGCCACAAACTTGCCTAAGTTCATCTGTCTGCCCTGTTGGTGAGCCAAAGTGTTTTTCCAGTAGTAAGTCTGGAAATGAATGGTCACAGGCTTATGGGTGATCAGCCCCTCTTTTTAAAAATTCATTTTCTCTCTCTCTCTCTCTCTCTCTCTCTCTCTCTCTCTCTCTCTCTCTCTCTCTCTCTCTCCTCATTGGTTTCTCTGAGGACCAACCAAATCCTTCTGTCACAGCAGAAGACACGCAGCCTGAGCATTCTCTTGGCTGCACTGCTGCAGCAGCAAAAGACAAAACAGTTTAATTTTTTGAATGCGCTGTTGTGATAGTCTCACAGTGCCTTTATCTTTTATTTTTCTAGCAGTCTTTAGGCGTATATTCATGAGTCTTTTCAGTATAAGAAGGAAACTGCCATTGGTCAATTTGAGTCTTCCTTATATGCCTGAGGATGACCATAGTTTGAATCAAATGAGTTTGTTGGGTTTCCTATGGATTTCAGATGTCAGAAGCTTCACATCTTTGTAAAAGGACCA